CTGCCCAGGGAGGTGGTGGAGTCACCATCCCTGGAGGTGTTCAAAAAATGTGTAGATACGGCACTTCAGGACATGGTTTAGCAGGCATGGTTGTGTTGGGTTGACGGCTGGACTTGATGATCTTTTCCAACCTTAATGATTCTATTCTACTCTGTTCTATGACTCCCAGGTAACAATTACGAAACAAAGATCACATTATTCCAAAAATCGTTCTTAGATAAACTGACTTTATGTATTGGTAATTAGAAGAATAAATTAAAACTTTTTTCTATCAAGAAATTGCCCAAGGATTCAAACATGTTTAGATGAAAACATCTGTAATAAACTCTACCAGACAGTCTGTCAGAAGTACATGATGTAGAAGCACAGAGCTCTGTTACTACAAAGCAATCACTCTTGCATATATATCAGAACTCAAAGGAAGAAGCCAAGGAAGTGGCTTGGGGATAAAACTTTGTCTAGATATCAAGATTTGCTGATGCTACCTGTTAGAATTCTATTAGAAGTGCAACAATTAAACTGCTGAGAGACACAAGACAGAAAGAAAATACCACCATTTTGGGGGCCAAAGATAAAAAATTAAAAAAATCACTACCACACTAGTCAGTATATAGAGTTTCTTATTCACACTTAGTTAACAAACAAAAATTACCCATCTGGTTATTCCATCTTCATTGGAATTGCTGAATGTGCACAAGTACTCTGCACATTTGTGTAGATCTTTATGCTTACAGGAGAAGAAAGTGAAAAATGAAAAGTCAAAAATAACCAGCAGTAAACTTGAGAGATATGGATATGAGGAGAGGAGGAAGGGAGAAAACAAGAAAAAAAACAAATCGTGTAAATAATAATACAAGCAAGAAAAAAGATAAAACAAGGAAACAATAGTTGAGGATGTACTGAAAACAGAAGATAAAAACTAGAATGCTATAACCTAGTATGTGTTCTTCCCTCCTCCACAGAAACAAAGTTGATAAACGTTGGACTGATTTTTCTGATGTCACAGAAGAGATCATTCAGATCTTTTGAGACACTGTTTCAACCATTAGAGCTACAAAACAAAACATCCCAGGTTATCAGAACTGATTTCAACTGATTTCGCTGATTTCAACTGGGAGTCTAACTGTCAATTGCATATACACACACTCCCTCTTTCCTTTTCTCTCTCCCAGTGTATGTACATGCAGCACTTCTCATCTTGCCCATTAATCGTCATTTACTTTAGGTGCGTTATTTTGAAGTTTACAATAACTTCAAGGAAAAAAAGGCACTAGAGTGGTAACATGGCTTTTCTCAAGAAGCAAATTTTTTTGTGTCACTATGTTAAGTATAAAATAATCAAAATAAACCCTGAATGTTTCTTTTTTTGCTAAAACACACAACATTTTCACTACCCTACCCCACAATTAGCTATTAAAAAAGCTTTGCGCTTCAGCAGCACTGTAATTCAAAATTTTCAAGTGCCAGTATTTTTGAAGAGAGCTAACATTACTAGGAGGAAAGTAGAGTAATAATAAACCACTCAATTTTTATACATCCATCAGCCTCAAAGCAATTTTACAACTGAGGCCAGTGCTGTTATCTCCAGTTTGCACACAGGAAGCAGAAGGACAGAAGAGAGCTAGCTCTGCACAGCCTTCCAAGACACACTTGCAGGCCATGTAGAGCAAAGAACTGATTCCACATTCTCTAAGAACACGGGACTGGAATGATTAATACGTGCTTATGAAGTACTAGTCAAGAACTCAACACAAAACTGACCAGAAGAAACGTATGATGGTTAGAACAACAAAAAAAAAAATGATGTCATCAAATGACAAATTCTGGAAAAGACAGATGTAGCAGTTAAAGGTCACGTTACTACTCCCTAGATACTTGTTTTAACTCCCTACTGCAGCTTTCTTCCTAGAGAACTGTATAAATGGAACATGTGCTTGTGCCAGATGCTTCAGTGCAATTCAGAGTTCTGGTTAAAACTGCCTGCTGCACTATGAAGTAAAACCTGCCAGAGAAGCCAAGTGGAAACACTGCTGAAGTCACCTGCAGCAAGATTAACCAGGTATCACTTGTCAATAGCTTCAGAGTAAAGAAGCCTGAATTCCAATACAATTTCCCAGTCACTGTATGTCTGGGAAAATCTCTTACTTGCTCTTTTTCCCCCTCAATATATAGCATCATCCCACCTGTCATGCATACACACCTCAGCTTAAAGTAGCAATAAATGCAAAAAAATGCCTTGTTACTGTGCACAAAAAGTCACTCCCGTGCGAAAAAAAAACCTTACCAAACCTTACAGAAGATGTCTTATCACAGAATCATAGAATGCTTTGGGTTGGAGGGGACCTTTAGAGGTCATCCAGCCCAATCCCCCTGCAGTGAGCAGGGACATCTTCAACCAGACCAGGTTGCTCAGAGCTCCGTCCAACCTGGCCTTGAATGTTTCCAGGGGTAGGGCATCTGCCACCTCTTCAGGCAAGCTGTTCTAGTGTTTCACCATCCTCACTGTAAAAAATTTCTTCCTTCTATCTACACTGAATCTACCCTTTTTCAGTTAAAACCATTACCCTGTGTCCTATTGGGACAGGCCCTGCTAAAAAGTTTGTCCCCATCTTTCTTATAAGCTCCTTTTAAGTACTGAAAGGTTGCAATAAGGTCTCCCCAGAGCCTTCTCTTCTCCAGGCTGATCAACCCCTGATGTTCAGTGTTATCACATCACTGTCTTTGCAGTATTAATAGCCTGCAGAAAGATTCTATAGATACAGCTCGAGGGAAGGAAACTGGAATCCCCAAGTCTCAATTCCCAACAAAAAGCACATGCAGTCATTCCTTTTCCCATATGACCTCCAAGTTTGTGACAAAGCAGCCTCCTAGATATTTTCTGAAGGACTATGTACAACAGTGTCACTCCTATGTAAATCACAATTTCTAATAATTTATTACTATTAAACCACATGAAAATCAGACCTAAGCGTTAATAAGAAAAATCAACATGTTGACTTTTCTTGAATAAAATGGAATCATAAAGTCACTTGGTTGAAGGATAAGACATCTATCAAATATTTCATAATTATTATCTAGACCACAATAATGCAGTAACTAATGCACCTGAAAAGCCATTGTGTGGGAACTTCCCACAAAGCCCTGGACTACATAACTTATCTAGGTCAGATTTCGAAATCATGTACCTCCTATACTTATGTTGCATATATAATTGTAACCTATAGTTATGTAGTTTTCATAGGACACGAAAATTATTGTATTATTTCTCTCTCCCACAGATATATGCCCCTTCTAAACATCATTTCAATGTATACAGAACCCTTTCCGAATTGCATCCTTTCAGGTGTAATTCGCCTTTTTTTTTTTTTTTACCACGCAAATTAATTCCTCTGGCTTATTTCTGTTGCATGTGTTCCAAAGTGTTTTCATTTCTTCTGCACCTCCAGCTACTGAGCTGCCCTAAACTGATGAAAACATTTTACAGATATGCTAAATGGTTCTGTACAACAAGAGGGCTACACTGCTGCATCAAAAAACCTGTATTTTCTTCAGGCACCTTCTGTTTTCATTAAATATGCTCTCCACCTGCTAACTCAAGATCCCTTTAACCATTTTTATGTTTACCAGAACTGTTCATATCCAATATGCATTACTATAGTCATCTTTACCAGTCACAATGAGTTCTGTTTTCCCATCTGAAATTTCTTTTTTAAATTCTTATAAATATTAGTGTATCTATTCCAGATGCATTTTTCCTCTGTTCTCCCGGATGTTTGCACAATCCCCGAATTTACTGCTTTTACATAAAAGAAAAAGGAAGAAAACAAAATCTATCTATCACTCTATCTATGTTAAAATACAGAGATGGATACATACCAAATGTATGTGCATAAGGGATATACTGTTGTAGTAAGGGGTCTGTCTAGATCTCTCGCATTAAGAAATTTGCACTTCCAATTACAGAATTATGTCTTGTTTGCAACAGAATCTGGTGTAACTAGACATTTTAAAGAGTTTTGAACCAAACAGTATTACAGTTTTCAAGAAAAAGTATATCACCCCTTGAATATGTTTTTGCTACAGTTTTTTTTACACAGGGAAATCTGAATGTGTTGGCTCAAATAATGCAAAGTTCAATTATCTTGTCACTTTTCTATCCATGACAGTGTTATTCATCATATGTATAAACTTACCCTAGCTGATACCTGTGGTTCGGCAATAGTCAAACACACCAATGACTAGCTACAAGTAGTTATGATACTTACATTTGTGAGGTGAATGACTCCTTTTGATGTAACGGAGCAGCCCATAAAACCAACACACTGCAGCTCAGGACAATGTTCAGCAAAAGCTTTCACTGACTGATCGGTCACCTACAGAAAAGATAATACAGGTTAATAGTTGAATAGGTGATATGAGCACATACTTAATACAGTCTAAGCAGCTTCTGTGTAATATTTGCAAGCTGCTCATTAATACTTTCATTATTATTATAATCATCACTACTACTGCCACGGCTGCTACATTATTATTGTCACTACTACGATAGCACTAGTATAATAAATATTACTTATTTCAAGAGTTTGCAAGCAAACGTCACGTATGCACATACACCTCTATACGTGCATGCTATAAGAAGGAAATGGATCATTTTTAGCAGAAGGGGATCATCTTCTTGGAGGAGAAGAAATAGAAGAAAAGAGAGAATGATCACCACAAATTCAAACATTATTGTCATCTGTTATCTGCAGATAACCCAAGAGACCATTCTATCCACTATTCTCATAAACTATATACAAACATGAAAATACTAGCAAATTGTGTTATTGCCAGCCTGCAGAATCATACCATACCCATCACTGATTCTGCACAGAATTGGAATTGTGCAATATCTTAAGTTTATATTCCTTTTCTAAGCATTTTTACTAAAACAAAGCAATTAATGATTTTAAGTTAAAGATAATATGTTTCCAACATCAGACTTGTATCTCATGATAATATAGCACTGTGTCATTTATCAGCTGAATGGAGATGTTATTTAGTTTCTTGCTGTGATTTATTTATTTCTACAACTATTTTTTCTTTAAGTTTACCTAATAAAATTTAGTAACTATGAAGCACAATCCATCACATAATTGTAATGCTTTGTGGGTAAACTAAATAATCAAAAGGACAACACTTTGCAAATTTTGTGAAGAATATAATATAGACATAGGTACACTTAAGACATCTGCCTATCTTCCTTTAAACAAGATTTTCCTGAGAACTACATAATCCCAGTGCAATCGACAGTAATGCAAAACTCTGTATTGATTTTGGGACAAAACCTGTATTTTCCAGCCAAACTGCTCAGGAATGTCTCACTATGTCTGGAATCATAAACCCTGAATACTAAGGACACTCTGGGTTTGTAAGGATGTCTTCTTGTTATCACAGAACTCTGAAGCAAAACAAGTTCTGAAATGTCTAGTGTCCACAGCTGATCCTCAGGTGAATACACACACAGAAACATTATTTCTACTGTGCTGTGGTTCACCTTTATCCACAGTTCCTACTTGCCTGACTAACATGTCACTTAACTGCATCCTGGCAGCATATGGTGACCTTGGTGAAGACTGTGTTAAAGCAAATTTCTGAAAAGATAGCCTGGAGACAAGGGAGGACAACAAGATTATAGGTACACCACCACATATAAGCTGTATGGGTTTAATTACTGAAAATGGTTATAGGTCTAATGCAGCTTTCTCAAAGCAGCAGTTTCTCAGTGAGCAAAGATTTTTATTGTCGCTCATGTGCCAAACAAAAGCAAAAGCTAAACCCTGTTGGGATTGTGTGTTCAGAAGCCAACGAAATTGAGAACAGGCCAAAAGGAAGGGGAAAAGGGTCAGAAAAACAGATTCATTCACAAATTGGGTAGCGATCATGTCGTATCTGCACAGATCCATGTCTGAGGTCTGACTACTTCAACAAAAAAAAAATCCCTACAGCTGACATTTGGGTGCATAAAGGTTTTAAAAAAATGTTGTTTTGAATACAAATAATAAAATTACCGTATCTCAAAGTATCTTTCGTTCATACTATGGAATTTTCTGCATTATAAACAAAAGCTGTGAAAGAATAACTTTGGCAAAAGTTAGTAACAGTAGACTATGACTATATATATTAAATAGTTTAGAGACAGCAGTGAACCTTTTCAGTGCTTGTTAGATATGCAGCATCTACCTAGTCAGAAGATTCTTCATTACCTCCTTATGCTATGAAAGCCTCATGATTTTCCAGGTTTAGAAACATTATTTACAATCTGTCAAAAGTAGTGGGACATTACCTGAACATGCTTTACTATTACTGTGGTAGAAATTGCCACTTTCAATAGGCATTTTGCTACTGCAAACAGCAATTTCTCTCCTTAAATCTTGACTTATAAATAAAATAACAGTGCATTGAACTTTTGCTGTCTTTCAGCTCAGTTCAATAACAGATCCCATCCTTTGCTGTCAGCCAGCAAAACTCCACCACCTGCAGAAGCTGACTTCAAGTGGGAAACATTGTAAAAATTTTCTCTATCAGCACTGTAATCTCACAGTCAGCATTCTTTACCATACCAGTGTCTAGGAACATACTAGTTCTTTTCCAGACCCTATGTCATTCATAGCAACTGATATTTTAATAACATCACTCTCGCCTTGAGAGACTGTAATGAAGGCCAGTTGATGCTCTGTTTAGTTAGTTACCATTAACACACAACCACACTCTGTGGTGATTGTATTAGTTGGGAAGGAAAATACACATATGTATTTCTATATATATATATACACACACACACACACTTGAAATTTCCCAAGAACGGCTTCTCATAAAATGCATATAAGACGCTATGCATAGAAATATCAGATCAAAACACCTGTAAACTATCTGATGAAAGGGTAGAAAATAAAATTTTTATTAAGTTTTTTTATTCTCCTTTTTGCAGGGGTGGGGGAAGTAAGAACACGTAGTAGTCTGGAATTCATTTATAAATATATGTGTAGCATTATAGTCAAGTACAATTACCTAGGCTTCAGTTAGAGTAATTGATAACTGAATCCTTTCTGTCCCTATTTATGTATGGCTCAAAAATAAAACAAGGTTTGTATGCAGAAGTGTTATTTTTCATTAGACCTATTTGAATAAGGGAGCAAAAAATTTAGGTAAGTTTCAGACAGATCTGCTATGGAAGCTAAATTTAAAGCTCGAATATGTTTCTAAGACAGAAAAAAATTTAATTAAGACTTTTTTTATTTTATCATCTGCAGTGTCTAGCACAGATGGCTTATATACATACTTGAACTTTTATATTTAATCTCAAACATACAGGTCAGCTCACTATTTCAGTAACCTCTTTTATTGTACGAATGTGTTTTATGCTCCCAAGAGATGGCCTGTTCTGGAGAATGAATGAAAGATAAGTGACTGATGAAAAGAGTGCATGGGAAAATTAGCAGTGGCATGTATGCAATGATTATCCAATCTTAACAGTGTCTCTTCATAATGTAATATGTAACTGTATGTTACATTTTCCTCAAAGACTTCTTCGGCCCTTATGAGACAGAGCAGGTACATGAAATGTGCATTATAAATACGACTTCTGCAAACCAACAAATACTTTAGACTATAAACAACTGACATTCAGATCTACTACACAAACAGATTAGACCAGCATAATCTAAAAACAGATTACCATAGAAAACATACCGCAGTTCTACAGAAGTGACCCTTGTCAACAAAGATACAGAAATTCACACCCAATTCTTTTACAGATCACAGTACTGTTCTTCCAAGAATCTTTAATAATCGGATTGTCAAGTCGACCTTCATTGACTTTCATTCATCCTGTCTTGCTCAATATTAGTCTTGCTTTGAAAAAGTAATATAGGATGATGAGGACAGATTTATAAGTTATGCACTAAAGCATTGTGAATGGGAAATACGCTGGTCTGGAACTAATCGCACAGATTTTGCTCCTATTAAAAAGATCTATGGTAAGTGAGATGTGGTTTAATAATTTTCTTTTTATATATTGAAGTCTATTATATATGAATTCCAGTTTTGCATTGTTTTACAGAAATTCAATATTTTGACTATTCTAAATTAGATTCTCTTGGTATTAGTTTATTTTACATTCTATTCAATAATTGAAGGAGCAAAAAGGAACAGCCCTGAAGCAAAGACGAGAATTAAAGAAAGTCTGAGGTACAACAATACAAGCCACTTAAATTCCAACTAAAAAGCCTCACAATCAATAAAAACAGAAGCTCAAACAGAAGTAACTGAAAAAGAGATAGGAACATAAAGAGTAACTGGTACAAAATGAACACCACATTCTCTTATTTAAACAGGTGCACTGCAGCCTAAGTAGATCCTAAGGTACAATTTTTTCCATGTAAACTACATAAATGTTTACAAAATATGCAAAATATTTCTCAGAACAAAGACACCTAGCAGGATAAACTCTGCCAGAGCAAAAGATGTTCTCATGTAAGCAGAGAGGCACAGAGAGAAAGTCTGCCATGAATGTAAATTATTTAAATAAACAAAAAAACGAAAACAAAACAAAAATCACAGTGACGAAACAGTTTTAAGAGAAACTGCCTGACTACTGGCATGTGTTTACATAGAATCTTCCGACTTACGTTAAAATTTGCATTACTACCCCTGTACTAAAATGTACCCACAAACAGCTAGCCATGACGCAAGGTAGAAGTTTTTGAATTTATTGCACTTTGTCAGCAATGGCTTTATTTGGAAATAAAGGCTAGTCATTGCATAGAATTATGATCAGATGATCACTCTTCAACACACAGGGAAAGACGACAGTCTCCCTTTTGACTAAAAATTTTAAAATTAATTTAAATTTAAATTTTTTTTACAGAAGGTCCAATAGAGATCACAATATTATACTAAAGTCAAATACTAGTAAATTTTACACTATTAAACTAAAACATAAACTTAGAATCATTTAAGATTACACATATCTTCCTAGTCTAACAAGTAAGAAATTACATGTTTCAATTTAACCCCTTTTGAATTAAAATACAAATTCAATCACATTTTAAAATTGATTTCTACAGGAGACTGCAATACTCGAAGTATTTACTTACAGATTCATTCCTCAGGTTCCATCAAACATGCGAGGGCACTCATTAGCATCAGTTCCTAATCTTATATTAATAATACTATTTATTAACAACAGATCTTACTATTTGACTGATCATGAATATAAAACCAACTCATTTTAAATTAAATGGGAATACGGCACAAACATATCTTACAAATACACACAAATCCCGATAAAGGGCTCTTTTGCCCTCCCTCATCCAGAAAATGAAAGGCAGAA